AATTACCCTTCTGCTGAGCACATCTGTGAAACGCTTATTCATGTTGCCATCATCTTTTTTGTTTATACGAAGATATTAATTATGTTGCCGGGATGTCAGGTAATTCAGGAAACGTTCCTAACATACAGGGCACTACAAATTCTCACGTAGCTTTGGAATACCAGTAACACCTAGATGGGAGGAGTTTTAGAGGAAATTTTTGTTGGACAGCTAACTCGTGAGCATCTGGGTTGTTTCTGCAGTTTAACTAATTCAGTGCCTTTCTCCTGTTAAAATTTGAGACTTTGTGATAAAAGTGATGAAGATTGTAACTTTAAGGTATTACTTTTTCTTTTAGCCCTGCAAATGAGTGATTTCTGAATTTGTCAGATCTTGTGAATTTTACCTAGTTAGTTTAATGAGAGTTCTAATGTTTTATGTAGTTTTAAATTAATTTTTATTTAAAAAATAAGGAATGTAGGCTAAGGTAGTGTCTTGGTATTCAATATAGATAACTAACATCAGGACATGTTTTTGAAGGAGGAAGAGCTAGTAATTTATCACTGTGCTTTATGGCCCATTAGTACATTTTCTGGGAAGAATTCTGTAGTCCGTGAGTGCTAAGCAGTGTGGAGATACACAGTGCTATTGTTGAAGGTAAATGGACAACACAAGTATTTTATCACTGCTTACTCTCCCACTAGATTGTTTTTAAGCAGTAGTAAATTCCTGACTGATTTGGTTTAGTTTACACATGATTTGGCTGAAGGAAAAATGCAAAATATTTGTCGTACTGTAAGAATGATAACTTGGTGTTATTGCAGGAATATCTAGTGCTCTTAAGTTGTTCCTATCCAAAAGAGCATAATATGGCTTGCTCTCAAATAAAAGAAGGTAACAAACAATACCTTTTGTGGGTTTAATGTTTCCGCTCCTGCGGCCTGTACCAGCAGTGGAGAGACAGCTAGTCATTTGTGCTTCGGAATCGCCGAGACTGCCGAAGCGTAACTGCAGGGAAGATGCTTTGACTTGTGGTAGGATGGGAACAGCAATTAAGAATGCACTGTAGTTAATGTGTCTGGATATTCAGCTGCTGAAGAATATTTCCCATTTCTCTGGGATTTTTTTTAAAGGAAAAAGTCGTTTATTCTAGCTATGATTCTCTTGCTTTGTGCTGTCTTTAGATGATTTCCCCCCTACCCCCCATCTTCCCGTAAAGATGTTTTCCATGCTGGATATCTCAGCTGAAGTTGGCAATAATCAGCAGATCTGAACTTCCTGCTCAAAGCTGTGACCTTCCCCACCCTTTGTCAACTCAATGCTGACAAGAAAAGACAGTAAAGAAGGAAATTCTGAATCTTTTGACTTGGATAAGAACAAAGTCTTGCTTTGAGTTGAACTAAAGTGCTGGAAGAAAAAGAGTTGAAGCATACTTGCTTATTAGGTAATCAAATGTTGGCTATTTTGTTGTAACTTAATAGTATACCTGTTGCTTTTCCCTCATCAGGTTTCCCTGTGTTACTGTAGTCAGCTTCCATAAGCCAGTCTTAATTTTCTGCAGCGTACGAGGTTAGAGCAGAATCCTGAATGAGGGACAGATTTTTCAAGTTATTTCTGCAACGCTCAACCACGCTGAGCTTGGAGCACGGTGACGTAGTAACTGCCACCGTGGAAATCCTGTTGTACAGCCGGATGGGACCTATGGAGTCATGCTGAGGCAGTAGTAGTCTAAATGCTCTAGTAAGTTCAGTCTGGTGATGGAGTACTCTCCAGTGGTGTGGGAGGTGAAGCTTAAAACGGACCATGTGGACAGTGAAAAGATAGAAAGTAGCAGAAGCCTTAGGGTAGAAATCCCATTTTCCATTTACTGGTTATAATATCAGAGCTCTAGTCTGAAGAGTATCGTCCCATTTGCTGTCAGCAGTAAGGTAGGGAGAAGACGTTGATGTGCATTTATGAGTTTCTGTGCCATCTGCATTTCCATCGATGCAAACATCCCACATGGATTCATAGTGTTTCTCGGACACTGAAGCTAAACAGCATGAAATTGGGGTAGAGTGGGCCAGTTTAACCTGTTACAGGAGCTTGCAATAGGAAAATACAGCAAGTTTGTCACTAGTAGAAATGGTCCCAATGTAAATTAAATTCAAGATCCCATCTCTGAGGCTTTTTTCCTTCACAATAGCATCTTTTCAGTCTTGACCCATAGCTGATTTTGTGGTTTCGGAGGGAAGATAGGAGATGATGGAGGAGAAAAGAGGAGGAAACCTGGAAATAAGCAAGATTGACCTGTTTTGAGCATTTCCTAAAGGATCACCTATTGAAGTATACATCAGTCTGTTGTAACGAAGAGATGATTTATTTTCTTTCCCCTCCCCTACTTCACTTGTTTTGACACTCTCTTTTTTCCCTGACCAGGAACAGTACCCCTTCATCTTCTGAAATGGAATGGGCAAACCTCTTGGAGTCAAATAGGCATTATATAGCTAAAGTGCCCGCAAGCGCCGGAATTGCAGTTAAAAGGAAAAATTTCAAAGCATAAGCAGTAAACAAATGTCATGCTTTGTACGCATAGTGTGGTTTTCTTTCATAAAAGCTGTTGTCAAATTAGTCTAATGCTCACAAATATGTTAATATTGCCATCTTTATGAAGACATCCTGTGTGTTTTAAAGTCAGTAAGCACCAAGGTGGCAGTCGTTTTGGGGAAAATGTTTTACAAAACTTTATGCTGCTCCCGTCCCTCAGTATCTTATTACATTCCCTGATTTTCTTAATCATATTGTCAACTTTGTTTCATTGTTTTCCTGAGAAAGGGAGTGCCAGCTAGAGTTCTGATGTGTATCCTGGAGAACTGATTCATCTTTCAAGGTTTTATTTTGCATGCAAGTCTCTCGTTCCACTCGAGGTTTTATTCAGATGTTCCTTTTAAAAGCAGCTGTCTCTGTGTTTCTGGTATCTCCTCTGGAGTGAATGTGTCTTGAAGTGAAGTTACTTGGAGTCGCAATTCTGCTACAGAAAGCTTGTAAAACAGTTGAGTTTCAAGTGAGCTGTGTTCTCATTAGAAATATCTGTCTGAGATTCGAAGGGCACATGGATTTCATAACTGAGCCCAGTCCAAGTCCAGCATACCTGCTGAAACCATTGTGCAACTTTCACTGTGGATGGGTTCACTTCTCGGGGCGTTTGGCAGCACGTCACGTGCAAGGCTTCTGGTGGGCCGTGCAGGCTCTGGGTTGTAGCAGAGATTGAGCAATGCAGGGTAAGTAGATAGGCTTCTACTTGAAACGTAGTAACCCTAGTGATTGCTGCTGTTTGCTGATGAAAAGGTGAAAATTAAGCCTGATTTTTTTGGTAAAAGGCAAAAATTCACAGAACCAAATAATACCAGTAGCCTTGCGTACTGTATTACTGGGTGGCAGCAACTCACTTGTGCCTTAACATAGCTAACTTAAAACCAAGTTCTACTGCATCAGAATTCCAGACAAAGAGGGTTGGAGTAACTATTTTATAATCTGCAATAACGGGATGTTCTATCCTGCGGAATTCTCTGCTGTTACGCACTGAGGTTGTCGGTGCACTTTAATTTTCACAATAGCAGCTGAAATAAAGGACCCCTGGAGATCATGCGGTGCTGCTCTTCTATGGAGAAGCACTAATGTAAACTGTGGGCAGTCTTGACTTGACAGCTGTGCTGACAAACCAAAAAAAGATGCTTTTTGCACTAGACAGATGTCTAAGTGTTGGAAATTTTCCAGTGAGAAGCAGAAAAGCTTTATTCTTCCAGTATTTTCATGTCACATGAAGTATGTTTTAAATGAAAGGAATGTTTTCTGATGGGGGAATGTTATTGCAGAGCTTTTTAGCATGCAGAGGATTAGCTTGCTAATCACCTCTCTGAGTAACTAGATTCTACCAGTTGTACGGGAAAATTCTTGCTGTTGTGAATAGCGAGGCGTAGTGATTAAGGAAACTAGTTATTATTTTAACTTCATTTGATATATTTGCATGATGCAAGTAGTGCCAGAATGTCTCCTGCATTTGCATGTCTTTTGTTACAATATTTATCAAATACAGGCAATAACATCGATAATTTTTTTTTTTTGAGAGAGACATTGTCAAGAATCTCATCCAAATGAAAAACAATATGAGAAGAAGGTTATATTAAAAATATGCAATATAGAAGACAGCCCTTTGTAGCAGAAGTTATACCTGCCATCCACTGTGGAGTTTTGTCCTGGAAATTCTAGTCATCAACATCAACAAATCAGTAAACGCTGAAACTTGCAAGCAAATTCTTCTCTGGACATAAAACTACAAAGTTGATTTTTACAAACCCATTTCCTTTTTTGAGGAAACTAGTAGTCAGGGTTGGTTGGTGGTTTTGCACACATAGTGTTGCATGACATCTTCTATCTTCCGTATTTGAATTCTTCATAACCCCTTCATTCTGTTAAAATTCACTTGGATGTTGAAGAAGGTGTTTCTCTTCGCGGGTGGTGAGTTAGATTGATTGCTGCTTTCCTCACCATAATGCAGGGCAGGAAGAAGTGATGGACACTTAATCCTGTGCTCGTTTAGAGTGAGCACGATGAAGGATGGCTTGCTGATGCCTTGTACTACGCCGTTGTGTGGCACTGTAAGGCGTGCTTGGTGATTTGTGAGGAATGTTTTAAGCTGAAAAGTGGTAGTCAAGTGTGTAAAGATGGACTAAGGGTTATGGCTGATGTTATTCCACATGTTTTTACATGCTGCTTTGTTGAACATTTGGTCATGATGGGCGTAGATTTTGTTTGTACTGCTTGAAGAGGTTCGTGCTTTGAGAATTATTTCATTTGTAAACCCTGTGGTTATGCAGTTTATCTGAACTGAAGCTTCAGTGGCAAACTACTCCCCACCTTGCCAAATCCAAGTATAACAATGAAGGATGTAGTACAGGTTAAACATACCCAAATTTCATGCACTATTTCACTACGCTGGATGAAGGATTTATTTTCTCCTTTTTAGGTACTCTTCCATTCAGCAAGATGGAAAGCTCAGATTCTAGTGATAAAGGAAATATTGATCAATCAGAAGCACAACGTCAGAGTCAGCTAGATCGGTTAGATCGAGAAGAAGCTTTCTATCAGTTTGTAAACAACCTGAGCGAAGAGGACTACAGACTTATGAGAGATAACAATTTGCTGGGAACACCAGGTAGGTAGTGCTTGTATATGTACGTCTCGCTGGAATTGCTTGTAGGTGATTTGTGTCGTTTTCTTTTCTCCTGAAACTGTTTCACCGTTTGGTTTGTGTGCTGCAGTTGTGTTCCATGGTTGGAAGTAGCTTCTTGCTAATTTGTGCATCCTCAAATTTGAGTGGGCCCCTGACTAGTGGAGAGGTAGTTAGGATGATGTGGATTCATCAGATACAAGAGTCTAGCGTTGCACAGCTTGGAGGGAACACCCTGAGTTCCAGTGATGGACCCTTTGACATTTTTGATTGAAAAGTAATCTCCTTTAAGCATCTGTGTGAAAATTCTGTGCTGGTGAGGTTAAGAGTGTGTAACTAGGATACGTAGTCTGGCGTGAGATTCTGCATGGGCATTTTTATATCAGTTTTCAATTGACTTATTTCTTTAAATTGACTCTTTATAGGATGATACCTTATTCAAACCAGTTCTAATTGAAAATGTGGCTTCAACTAATTTAAACCTTTTCATGCTTATGAAGGTGTTATCTTAAATATTTTACTCTAAACAGCCATTTAATTGGTATAGGATGATGAAAACTGCTGGTAAGTTACAAAACTGGAAAGCACATCTGTCTTGAATAGGCTGAAACTGTTGGATTGTTCAGCTTCAGCAAAACTTTCTTGGGATAGTGGTGCTGAAGCGTCTGAACTTCCCCTTAGCAACCTGTTTGGCAGTCTCATTATGGCAGGATTTAATGAGAAAAAAAAAAAAAAGACAAGCAGTGGCTTGTACCTTCTTTAGAAGCTTTTGATAATGCTTACCATACATATGATTTGGAAATATTTTTGGAAAATTTTGCTTATTTTCTAAGGTGAAATTACTGAAGAAGAGTTGCTGAGAAGGCTACACCAAGTTAAAGAAGGTCCGCCACAGCAAAACAGTGATGAGAATAGAGGTATATACAGTATTTGTGAAAACTCTTAACTTTAGCACCCCTATACGGACCTTGGCTTGAGTGCAGGAGTGGAACGAGTTGAGCCTAGGCAGGTGCGAGGTGAGCTCTGTTTCAAAACTGAGTGAACGTTGTGTCTGATACCTGCTGCAGAGGTCCGTTTTGGACAGATTTCACTCAACGCGTCTGTTATTTGCAGCAAGATAACGTTTAATTTAGCTTTTTTTTTTTTTTAAGATTGCCTTCCTGTCTGCTCCCTCCTGGGATGGTTTTTGACAATCTCTCTTTTTATTTTTATTCACTGTTCTTCCCTTCCAAAGATGCTGTATTGCTTTTGTTATCGCCCTCCTGTAGAGATTGGTGGAGGACGCTCGGAGCTTATCGCTGGGGTTCATTCTTTAGTGAGATAGATTTGCTATAAAGCCATGCTTCCAGGGAAGGGTCAGGACAAACTTGGTCCTCTATTTAGCAGTCGATAGATCACTTAATTGTTTGGAAAGGAAAACACGGAATACTGATGTGTTATGACACCTGAAATGTGACTTTCCATTTACTTACGATAAACAATATGTGTTATTTTGATGACTTGTTTGCTCTGTGATGGCTGCGGCCCATCTGCACGTGTTAGAAAAACATCCACTCCTGCTCCCCTAAAAGAGCTCTGTTAGATAAGAATTGTGATGCTACGTGTGAAACCGCAGTAGCACTCGGTAGGATTAAGCACTGCTAAATTGTCACTTGTTAAACTAAGCAATTATGTTCTTGGAAAAGATCACTCCAAAATTAGCTCAGTACTCTAATTTTGGTAGTTCCCTGTTTTTTTCGCAGGTGCAGAGTCCGCAGAAGATGTTTCAAATGGAGATTCTATAATAGACTGGCTTAATTCAGTCCGACAGACTGGAAATACAACACGAAGTGGACAGCGAGGAAACCAGTCGTGGAGAGCGGTGAGCCGGACTAACCCAAATAGTGGCGACTTCAGATTCAGTTTGGAAATAAATGTCAACCGTAATAATGGGAACACAAATCCAGAAACTGAGAATGAGCCATCTGTAGAGCCTTCCGGTGGGGAGGATTTGGAAAACAGCCAAAGTGACTCTGAGATTCCAAGGTCTGAATCACCATCTGTAAGGCAGCCTGGATCAGAAAGGAGCACTTCGGAGGAGCTAACGACTGAGGAAGCTTCCCCTCCCAGAGGGCAGAGGAGAGCGAGAAGCAGAAGTCCCGAACAGCGGAGAACACGGGCTAGGACTGATAGAAGCAGGTCACCTATTAATTCAGTGAGCGAGACTCCTCGCAGGTCTCATCACAATACATCATCTCAAACACTCGACCACTCCTCAGCGAACGAAGCTGAGGGAAGCTCTAGAACTAGGCAGCATGTGACAGTAAGGCAGCATGCAGTGGGGACTGAGGTGCCGAGTGAAAACGCAGTTCTGTTTTCAGCCCCCGAAACGAGACCGCCTGCTCCCCAAGCAGCAGGTTCTTCAGAAACTAATGGTACCAGTGAGTCCGCAACTCCTGGGCAGAGGCCTCCTACCATAGTACTTGACCTTCAGGTGAGAAGAGTTCGTCCAGGAGAATATCGGCAAAGAGACAGCATAGCCAACAGAACTCGGTCCAGGTCCCAGACACCCAACAACACGGTCACTTACGAGAGCGAACGGGGAGGGTTTAGGCGCACGTTTTCGCGTTCGGAACGGGCTGGAGTGAGAACTTACGTCAGTACCATTAGGATTCCTATCCGTAGGATCTTAAACACAGGCTTGAGTGAGACCACATCAGTTGCCATTCAGACTATGCTCAGGCAGATAATGACAGGCTTCGGGGAGCTGAGTTACTTTATGTACAGTGATAGTGATGCAGATCCTAGCGGCCCCACTCCGAATCAGAACGTGGATGCCTCTGAGCCCCAGAACGGGGGTGGTGGTACTTCAAGCAACGAAAGTCCAGACGTCAGCTCAGGGGAGGTATACGAAGGTGGTAATGAAGGCGGTTCGACATCTGGTGCCAGGCGGGAAGGCCGGAATACGAGGGGATCGGTCACATTTGAAGAAAGTGGTTCTCTACCATTCCTTAGCCTAGCACAGTTTTTCCTACTAAACGAAGATGACGATGACCAACCAAGAGGACTCACCAAAGAACAAATTGACAACCTAGCGATGAGGAATTTCGGCGAGAGCGACGCCCTGAAAACCTGTAGCGTGTGTATTACGGAGTACACGGAAGGCAACAAGCTCCGTAAGCTGCCATGTTCGCACGAGTACCACGTCCACTGCATTGATCGCTGGTTATCAGAAAATTCCACTTGTCCCATTTGTCGCAGAGCAGTCCTAGCTTCTGGTAACAGAGAGAGCGTTGTCTAAATGAGATCTGAATTTATGGCCAAGCAGCTAGTGTGATAGTGATGGGCAAAGAAGTCACTTCCTTTATGGCCACTTTTTGAGTGGTACCTCAATGTATAGTAATGACTTGGAGTGAATCTTCCCTCATGAAAGCATTTTCTCTGGATTCAAGCCTTTAAAATTGGAAAATTTCTTTAATTTAGGGTTTTCAAGATCTAGTCAGTTTGGGTGTTAACTTTCACTTGTCCAAAGACATCTACCTACTTAAATTTATTTTTTTTTTGCTTTGTGAAGAGTATTAAGTTCTTCCTCCCCCCCAGCCTCTGCCATCCCAGTCCAATAAACATTTTGACCTCAAGATTGTGCTTATGAGGAGTTCTTTGAGAAGTCATCCCAGCTAAGTGTACGTGAGTCGTAGAGGAATTCTTGCAAGAAATCCAACTATCTGAAAAAATGGTATGAACTTAATTGCACACTTGAACATACTTTTGATGTTCATCCCGGGTTAATATTGGACATGTCTGTGTAAATAACACTAATGTTAGCCCTTTCCCCATCACTATGGCACGCTGTAGGATGAGCTGTTAGCTTAATTGGGATATTTATCTTGTTGTGGAAATATAAGAATTGCCTATGCTTGTTTAAATAAAAAAAAAAATCTGTTTTAAAATTGTAAAGCTTTTTTGTAGAAGCTCAGTACTTTTCCAATGCACTGTTGTACTAACGCATAAAGAATTAAAATTGTACCATGCTTAGAAATCAAGAACGCTTTTCATACAAAACCCACCACACGGACAGCAAACTGAAGACGAGAGAGCTGCTTTTGTGACTGTGTACCTGTCAAGAGCAGTGCATATCTGTACTATTTATGTGAACAGCTACTGTAATATAAAACCAGTTGAATTAGACATCTTAATTGCATTAAAAACCCTGAAATCCCATGTTATCATTGCAGTGTTTTGGCTCAGTAACGCCACCAAAAAAAAAAAGATGATAAAAATTAGAAACTGTTCTAATGGCTGCTTATTTCTTGGTATGGTTGCTAATATTTCATAATACAAACTGGTTCACTCAGAGAGCTTTATGCCCAATTTTCCTATCAACTTTTACTTTCAGTTTTTGAGGCAACTGTGTAACTCTTCAGCAGACAAGTGTCCACAGGTTGGTTTGGCAGCTTCAGCTATTTATTAACCTCTGGATCTGTTGAGTGAACGTGCTGATGTATCTGATGTTGGTAGCCTGTGACTCAAGTGCCACAGAAAAATAACTGAAGTATTAACTGGAAAACAGATTATTAGAGTGTTAGGTTAAATTTGAAAATTGTCTTTGATTATGGGAGTACACTTAAATGCACAGCCAGTTCTAAGAATAACATTAAAAAACCTAACACGCTCTCTGTAGTCTTATTGGGGAGATTCAAATGAGTTGAATTCACTTTTTAAATCATGTGTGTGGCATAGTGAAGGTGAGAATTAGAGAACGTACCTCGGTTCTCCTCAGCGTTGGGGGAAAACATCTCTCCCCCTCAATGACTCGTGCTTTGCTTTATCCTCTAATGATTTTTTTTTTCCTAGCTTACGTGTGGGACAGGGAAAGCAGTATTTATCTCAACTCCAGGGCAGTAGTTACGAAGGGCCGTGAACTGCTCTTGCTGGCTCCATGGGCAGTGCTGCTTGTTCCTTGGATGACAAAACCAAAGCTGGCCTGTCTCTTTTTCCTAATTAAACCACTTTTTTGGTGTTTATAGTGGTGGCTGCATAAACTATAGTCTCTGCTCTAAGTCATTTTAACATCTCATCAGCTAGTTAAGGATTCCACAATGTCCCAAAATTCCAGACTCTTTCTCCGTGCGCGTTTTGTGGTGTTTGGTTCAATGGGAAATCCTGACTGGCTGTTGAGCTCGCTTTCCTCCTGGGGGGACATGCCATCCTGGCCAAGGGAATACCTGTATTCTTTTTGGACAGAAGAATAAAGAGTTTTGCGTTTTGTGGTGCTTGGTTCAGTGGGAAATCTTGACTGGCTGTTGAGCTTGCTTTCCTCCTGGGGGGACACGCTGTCCTGGCTGAGGGAATACCCGTATTCTTTTTGGACAGAAGAATAAAGAGTTTTCCCCTCTGACATGCATCACTGTAAATTTGGAAGTTAGCTATTAATTTCAGGTGCTGGACTCTCTATGCCAAAATTTCCTCTGCAAAATAGCACTTTGGAATTTTTTCCAGTAGTGTTCACATAGCAAATACATGCTGTCAGTTACGGTTTCCAGTAGCTTTACTGACTTCCTGGAGCATGGAATTAGAAGGGAAAAAAAAGATCCGCCCTCTCTATGCGAATACCATGTGAGATTTCGGAAGTCTGATGTACATCTCTGAGGGCTAAGGCTAGTGACCAGAAAGAAAGGAGCCCACTGGTGCTGATGAACGTGAAGCACGGCTGTGATACCTGTCATTGGACAGAGCTTCCATTTCAAATGTTCTGAGTTTGTAGTAACTGGTCACGTTGGTACAATCAACTTTGCGGTTTTGTTGTAGCTTAATAGTGGCATGCCTTAACATTTGATCTTTCTGTAACAGTAGCAACTAATAAAATGTTGGCGGTTTCCCGAATGGTACCAAGAACCAATAATTTAACCTCAGTTCAGGAGAACTTTGAACATTCTCGATGTTTGATACGCCTTTTCCAGCGCTGGGGGTTCGTGGTCCGTTGTCTGGAGCAGTTGGCAGAAATTAAATTGCCAATACAGCAAGGACCTCTTGATGTAGCTGTCGGCCTCTGTGGTAGTGCAATTTCTCTTCTTTTAAAGTGAGGTCGGAGTTAGGAGAAGCTAATATTGGCACTTCAGTCGCGAACAAAATACGAAAGACACTCTAAGGAGGTTCACCAGTGGCTTAATTTACAGTTACAGGTTTTGAGCGTTCGTACTTATCGCGTCCATTGGTTTACGCTCTTTTGGCATTACAGGGGCCATATGGCCACTGAACTCCTGTGTGTAGCCATATGAAGGGTTAAAATGGTTGGGTTTGTCGTTGTCAGAGCGCTGGTTGTCCAGGAGTGAGGAGTCTGAAGAGGCAGAGACAGCCTTGTTGCATTCAGCTGGTGGTTCACAGTGCCACCGTGTGGGAGCATCTCTCGGGATGACTCCGACTCCTCGCTTGGAGCAGCATGGTTGCTGTTGCATTGAAGACTGTGGTTTTATGTCATTTTTGAAAGAGATTCCCTGTTTTTGCTTGCCCCCGTGGTTTTTGGCAAACTGCAAACCACCCAAGCCCCTGCCGTGAATATCTGTCTGGTGTCTGAGCTTAATTCCTTCCTGACCCGACAGACCCGTGCCCACAGACCTCCTCGCACAGCAATTAAAGCAGTCACAAGGCCAAAACCGAGAAGAACAAACAGTATTTTCTACTTAAAAGTGCATTTGATAATTTAGCTCAGATTGTGAACCGATACAGAGTTGTGGGCACTTACTTACTTTTTTTTTTTTTTTTTAATTGGGACTTTTTCCATTAAAAGGCTGCGTAGAGTTATTCCCGGGGTTTGTTAGATTTCCCTTTCACGTGCACTTTTTTTTGTTTCTTTGAAAAAGTTGGGTTTTTTGCAAAGAACTTGTAGGCAGTTCGTTGACTTGTTTGAAAAAGGATTTGATTAGCGTAGGTACTGCATGCGTAGAAATGACTCATTAAAAGTTTTTTAGGAGATACTGATGTGCAGGCACAGTGGTTGCACTGGCGTGATAGGGACCAGTTTTGAAGGCGCCGTAATTGCCCATTGTGTCGAGTAATTGTCCATTGTGTCAGCTGGCAAACGAAGGGATTTCCCACCAAAGTTGGGGCAGTGGACCGTAATGACTGTCATTCCAGTTTCCTGTCACTCGTCTGGATTATGCAAATGCGGAGAGTCCAAAGAACCGTGTCCCTGGTGGATCTGCGGTCGATGTTTAACTTGCAGTGGTCGCCTACACAAAGAGGAGATTCCCAGTGGTCTCGGAACAGTGAGGGTCTGGCGTGAAGCTGAGAAAAGAAACGCAGTCGATGTCGGTCTCCGACTTGTAGCAGTGCGATGGGTTTTCTGAACCTCCCAGCGTGGTCTTCACCGTCACGCTGCAGCATGGAGCTTCATCCCGTCGGCTGAGCCGCAGCCTTAGCTTTAGTCGGGGATCCTTTTCCTTAACGGGTACGTTCATGGAACTGTCCGATGTCTCGGTTTTCTCACCAGTCAGCCTTGCTCCTACGGCGGGGGCTCGCGTCGCTTGGTGGGTGGAGGGACAGAAGCGAGCGCGGAGCTGGTGTGGTGGTTGTGGAAATGTCTGCCTGCTCCTCTGCCTTCTCCCAGGAGGAGGTGCTTTGGATGAGGGTTGGCTTGGAGCCACCTGAAAAGAATTTATAACAAATTCAGAAATATTTCCAACCCTTATGTACACTAGGCTTTTTGTTTGTCCTTGACTAGGGAGAGAGGAAGGAGGGTGAAGAGACACAATCAGTGGTAACTTACCCAAAGTACGTAGGAGTTGTGTTGTGTTAAAAAAGAAAAGCAGCTTGCATCTGTTATCCCAGGGCTTCCCAGCCTCATCAGGTATCTCTTTCTTTTTTTTTTTCTTATGGGGAAACATACCATCAAATTTGTTTTCATTGTTTTATCTGGTTTTGTTCGGTTAAGCTAAAATACACAAGACCCCTTCCTGAATTTCGCCATCTGCTAGTAAGGCTCTTGGTTGGGAAGCCCTGAATTCAACTGAGAACGTAACAGGTTTTTGGGTTTTTGGTTTTTTTTTTTTTTTGGTACAGTGCTTTACATCTGTTTATACTGGACTTAATACCAAATGGTACTCTGAGGTCACTGGACAGCAGTTTGACCTGATTTGATAGCTAACGTTTAGAGGAGTTTGTTCCCTGTGTAAGATGTCATAATGCAAATCTAAATAGACTCAATAAAATGCATGAAATGTTCATTTTGTGCTTGATCATCACTCCTTGGGTTTATTCTTCTTACGGCGGGAATGCGCTGGAGTAAATGATGGTGGATGTGATAGGAATTTATTTCCTCCGTTCGCCTTTTCCCTTGAGGCTGGGCAGAAAGGAGAGAGCCGGGACGGTACGGAGTTGACTTGTTGGAAGAATTTATTGCTCCTCAGTACATAAAACTGAAACAGTAAATCCCACTATGTCCCGGACTTCTGTAAATCTGTCCGTGGAGAATGTGGGATACCAAAGCAGTGTCTGCAAGTTGTCTTTCAAGTAGTAACTGTGACTTTTATGGGTGCCCATCAGTACCAGGGCCCAGTGGTTGGGGCTGTCGGGGCTGAGTCTCCCTAGAAATACACCTGTGGCTAAAAGCTTCATCCTAAAATTAGCAGCTGATGTATGT